AAATATGGTCAGAAGTCAACTTTGTGTTTTGGATATACTTCAATTTTTTTTTCAAAACCGAAGCTTTCATATTTGGACTCACAGGATCGATTGACGAAAGTGACGATGACACCTTTCCTAGCTCTGGATCGGTTTAGGATCGAGACAAAAACGTCTTCACAAATAAAAGTAACCATACAAAAAATCCATTTTCAGCCAAAACCATTGTAAAAAATTGCTTTTCTAATAGAGAATTTTTTAATTTTGAGAAAATAAGATGAAAAATAAGAATTCCAATGAATTAAAAAGGTAGAAATTGCATAAGGTTTGACTCGACTTTTCAACTGTACAGTGAGCTATCAACGTTACCCTCCCCGCGCCGCACAGTTGACGAACCCATTACATCACATACATTTCTGCTGCGCCCGTATAGTTGAGTTCGCAACGACTTTACGTGGTAACGCCGTGCGATCCGAGAGTGTTGGAAAAGCTTGCAGTTTTCGGTAAATTAACAAAAACGGAAACTCTAAAAAAGTCATTTTGATTAAGCAGACATTAGATCCAAAGGTTTATATGATTATTCAATTTAAAGTAATATTTAAAATCACACGTAGCAAGTGACCTATCGCCCGTGAATTTTAGTGTTTTTTCACTCTTGTGAACTAGGAAATTCAGGAACTAGGAAAATGACTTGCGGTACAATGGGCGGAGTGGGTAACAAAGTTAGCTCCGAATTCAAGTTTCATGTATGACCGCGGGACCGGGTTTTCATCGGCACGGTGGTTTTCCATGAAGTCTGTCCTTCAGTAAGAAATTTCACAGGCATTTTATGCATGAATGTTTGTTCCTAATTTATATACTTTTTTACGGGTACCCGGCCCGGAAAAAGGGAACCGGGTTTTGAAATCGACGGGCGGGTATCCGGGTACCCGGCACAGGCCTATCTTGTTGACAGTTAAATTAAATATATAGCTCTCAAAATATGGAGGGCCTGACATTTTAATACTAGCAGAATCTTTCTCAAAGGCAAAATGACAAGTGGACAGGGCAAACAAGCAACAGAGAATCAACCAAGCATGGTTGAATGCAAGAGGAAAGGTCAAGAACGGTCAAGAAAGCTGCAGGCTGGGTAAAAGGGGCAAAGGATAAAGGGGACTGCATGAAAGGTATTGTTGAACAAAAAGGAATGTAAGGTGGGAAAAGATCAAAGAAAAATACAGTGGATGGACTGGACTCCAAGTGGGAGTGGGTAATTATCTGCAGATAGAAGAGAGGGAAAAAAGAGTATTAATTAGTAGTTTCCCTCTTGCATGTTCAGG